AGCAGCCCCTTTTTCATCTTTTTCTCTCTCAAAAGCCCTAGATCGGCACACACACTCTCTCTCTAAATCTCATATTCTCTCCACTATTTCACCTAGATCCGTTGGGTTCTCCACCCTAGTGCCTTTGAGAAAAAGGTAGAGCAGGTCATGGGCTCTCTTTTCATCCGAACAAATGTGGGTTTCAATGTCTTTGAAGTTCCCTTTTGCTTTGCTGGTCTTCTAACTTTGAGGTGGGGGCTTTCTCCACTCTTCTATGAGTTTTAACTTGGTTATTTGTTGATGGATAAGAAATGTTGAGACTTGTTGTGATTTTGAACAAACCTAGGTTTTGGGTTAAAATCCAAAAGAGGGGTTTTCGAATGAACGTATTGGAAATAGTTATGGAAGTAGATATGAGCTTGTGTTGTGTTAAAAAGGTTGTTTTTGGTGTTTGGGATAAGATTGGGAAAAATGGGGTTTTATCCTAAAATGTCTTGAATAATTATTTTGTAAAAATAATGGAATTGGTATTGGGAATATGAAATTATATGGATGTTTATATAAATGGTGGAATTAGATCTGTATTATCTCGCACCTATGGAAATGTGGACAAGTTACCTATTATAAAGATTGTATATCTGTTTAGCTAGGATTATTGTAGAAATTGCATGTGGATTAGGAAAATTAAAACGAACTTCTTGGACATTATCATTGAATATGAACATAATTTATATACATTGTATATATATGATTTTTGGGATGAGAAATGGGATGTACTCTATGTTTGGGAGGAGAAAGGAGATGGACACCATTAAACTAAGTTGGCCTGCGTGTTGAGGGTGAAAATCCCAAAAACTGTGTGTATAGATGGGTGCTGATTCCCACAAACAAAATTTCTGTAAAATGGCAAGTGAATGTATTTTGTATGATAATTATATTGATTAGAGGCCTATGGGGTGTATCCTTTGTTTGGTTGACTAAATGAAGTGGTTATAACTACTGAACTGAGATGTGAGTTTGATAGAACATGGTTACAGAAAGGTTGTAAAAGATTTTTCGTTTGGGAATTGAATATGTGCATCATACTTATATCTTTGTTAATATTCATATATTGTGTTAGATTGTTTCTACTGGGTTTTGGCTCACCCTATTTGGAAAAACCATTTTCAGGTGCCGGTGATATGCCTCCACCAAGGACTTAGCTTGGGGGTACCGTGGAGCTGAAGGCTCAATTTTATTATTTTGTGTTTAAATTTTGTTACAAGCCTAGGGCTTTAATTGTATTGAGCTTGTAACTCATTTTGTTGTAACCAAGCACAGTCTTGGAAAGATGTAAGCCTTTAGGGCATTTAGATGTCTGTTTAACTTTCATTTCTTATTACTATTTGTAACACATGCTGTAGATTCAGGATGCATCATTTATGAATATATAATGCACGTGTCCCTTTTGTATTCCAACTCTGATTAATGAAAGCACCATATTTCAACTTTATTTCCTCTTATGAGATGAGTTTATCCTATTTACTTTAGGGCGTTACATATTCTAGCTTAGCCTTTGGTTGTTCCTATAAACTGTGCACTGGTTGTCTCATGTCCTCTATTCTTTCTTTTGCTTTCTCTTTGAAATTCTCAGCTTTCTTAAATGGTGATCTTTTTGTTTGAAACCGGGAAGGGCCCTGTTTGGGTGTGCAATAATACCAGACTGGTTTATTTCGGGAAGGGCCTTGTTTGGATGTACAGAAAATCCAAACCAATTTAATTTGAATTCTGGATTTTATTTTAATAAAAAATAAAATTAAATTCAAATGTTTTTGGCCCAACCCAACCACGCACAAGCCCAGCCCAGCCCGCCCGACCGGCGGCGGCGGCGCGCGTGTGGTGTTTTTTTGGGTCCAATGGGTCTAGCCCATTTTGCCCATAACCTCTCCCTCTAAAACACTTGGGTACCCCTTGGGGCACACCCCAAGTATCTCACCCTAAGCCTTATAAACCCTTTCAAAACTTCCCACCAAATCAATGTGGGACAAGCCAATTTACAACCTTAAGGAATTTCCACCAAAACTCCATTTCCATGGAGCACACTTTGGCTTCAATTTCCCATTCACTCGGTAATGGTTTTGAGCAACCAAATATACCACGTGAATCACAACGCGGCATAGAACGCGTTACCACTTTGACCCGAGTAAATCGACACTCGGGGCCCACCTAAAAATTAGACCGAACTTAGGAAAAAATTCTGGTTTTATCCAGAATTTTATAACCATTTCCAACACTTATATTTACTCACCTCATGGCTCCATGATGCTTCTGGGGTCTTGAAAAATCGCACCATGTTGCTGGTTAAGGCACACCCAACAAACCCTGTATCTTTAGATGGGTCATGCAGGAATCTTATCTGCAAACAAAGTGTTTGACAAATATATAGTGGAATCTACTCAACAAGATGTCTCAATTGCAATAAAAAGAATACAAAAGCCATGAAATTATTTGAGTCTAGAGCCATAAAAGAAAAAGGTAGTAGATGACATTTTCAACACGCACCTCTAAGGGCAGTAGTCCTGTATTTCCAAGATACATAGTCTGTTTTAATTCACCATCAGGACAACTATAAACATGCAAATGGCGCCCATAAAGGCCATCTGAGACATCCTGAAGGTTGAAACCTTTGGCGAAAGCTGCAGGGGCTCCCCGTGATGTGCTGATCATTGTCTTGTGCCGGGGTTGGCACCAGAAATCATAACCAAAAAGTGGACTATGCCCTGGTTTATCCCACCTAAGAAGTTTGATAATGAGCTTCAAGATTATGTAGAATCCAGTTTGCAAATTATTCACTCAATTCCCATTTGGTCACGATGGAGAGATGTTTAAAACCATATAATGTAGTTACACCATTGGGGTACTTGAAAGGTATCCAAATATTAATTGAAAAACTACCTTACAAGTAGAGAATCCAAATTACCTTCACTAATCAAGCCAAATTCTAATATGAAAAATAGAGAATACAATTCATAATCATATATGTCTGTTCATTTTATCTAGTAGAAATCCTATAATATTGAAAGTTCATTCTCCTCAAGGAATGTCAAAGCGTTATTAACCCAAACAAGTGCTCAAATGTTTAGTAGTTGACATACTATAAATTCGAAAATGATGTTTGTTGCATAATTAATAATCAATAGTAAAAAAAGTTAACAATCACATATGATGTTTTAATTTAAGTCAATGAACATCATAGGGCATATTTCACATCACTAATCCGCAATTACTAATAACAATTTTGACATTTAAATGTCAGCAACAATTATGCGCCCAGATCAATTGGAAGAAGAAAAAATAAAATAACAAGAAACATAATCAAAAAAGTCCACAATTATTATTTTATTTAAAAAAAAAAAAGGTGACACCAGAACTTAGTGGCATGAAATGAAAATTAAATCAAATGGCTGCAAGGATGGATACTGGCACTAAAACAAGAAGCAATGTTTATATTCACTGAGAAATTTTGTACAGGAATATATCCCAAATTAGATAGTGGCATTACCTTCCTTTCACATAAAGTTCGAGTCGAGAAGAAGAAATCCATTTCCCTCAACTTTTCCATCTTTATCTCCAAGGCATGAGACCATTATATCACCAGAAGCAAGACAATGTGCTGTGTGCGGATATGCTAATCCAGTCTTCCGAATGATATCTGTCAGCTCCACATATTTATGCAAAGTGGTGGCTTTTGGATTCTCTTGTGCGTCAATTGCATATATGCACCCAGATCTGAAATAATTAAAAGAGTAAAAATGCCGCTCAGGGTGCATGAATTTCTTTTTCCTTTTCATTAACTGAAATATACTATGAAAATCTGAGAGCTTTCTATTAAAGTAGATTAACCATCTAAATCAGAAACTAGTTCAAATTGTAGTATGAGAGTGAACACTGAGGGCAGTTTGGGTATCTGATGGGAATAGATCCATGCCATATTGCTCTTCTTATTAATATAAGGTCCAAATCCATCTCCGCCAATGAGATAGTAAACATTTAATTGCCACGAGAGAAAAACTAAAACACTACAGAACATATTAAAAATGTTCTTTACACAAGCATTGTATAGTTCCAAGTAGATTCCAAAAATGGTTTCTCCAGAGTTAAAATCATACTGAAGTTCGAAAAATGTGATACTGCTACTTTCTACTTACATTGAAGGGAAAGTTAAACTGATTATTGTGTATTAATGATATGTTAAAGGCAAAGATGAGAAAAGCTAAAACATAACAAACAGTATACAGGATTTACGTGGTTTGGCTATAAGCCTTTGTTCATGGAGGAAGGATTTACATGGATTCGGGCACTGGTGTTGGGTATGAGAATGTATCTAAATGCCCAATTCATCTAATTCCATGTCCAGAGATATGGAAATGACAAAATATTCACAAGGTGTCATAGAGCATTTAATGCATAATATGGGACTTTTATGCATAGTTTTATTGTTAGTGAATGCCCAACTACACATGTTGGAGACACATCTCATGCTCTAAAGCAATATAACTTTTTACCACATTACGATAATTGAGGCTGTGGAAAACATCAGTAAGTGTTTAAGCAACACAATTCTGGTTTTACACGAGTGAAGGCAAGACAAGGTAACGCCATGATGTTGATGCATCTCCATAGCAAGAGCTGTACGCATTCCATCCAAAATGATGTAATTCATCACCGATATGAGGCATAGGCAGTCTGTGGATGACTTTTGAATAAGTTTGGGAGTTCGGATCTATATCCACTGTAGCCAGGTAATCAGGCTTCTCCGTCCCTATTCCTGCATAAAATAAAATCAAAATAAGTTACCTAAAGAAAATGAGAAGGAAAAAAAAATCATTGCAGTAGTAGTGATCAACTAGAGGAAGACATGCCTGGTCAATTGATCTATCCTTTAGGTTGTGTTTAGATCTTGAATTTGAGGAGAGATTGGCGGAGGGAAAGGAAAAGGGAGGGAAAAGTGAACAAAATTTAGCTTATACTTCATTCTATTTTCCCAATGTTATTGTATATGCGGTATATATGCCTAGATATATTAGGTATTGATTTCCTAGATATATTTGGAAATAATGATAGTTAGGTTTTTTGTAGAATACTCTTTCTTATAGTTAGGTTTCTAATAAAATACTCTTTCTCAGCCTATATACACAGGCCTTCTATTGAATAGGATTAATTCATTGAATACAATACATATCATTTTCTCTCTCTCTCTACTATTCTAGCATAGTATCAAAGCTATAGGTTAAGCTCTTGGTGTTCTTCGCCTTACCGGCAGACGACAGATGCTTTGGCCACCCGCTGGACCTCAACCTATTCCGTTGTCATATTTTCCTGTCAGTATCGCTTCGTGGTGATCCTTTTCTTTGTCCACTAATTTATTCTTATCCCAAATATCTCTATTATATATATTTATTTTATTTTACGTACAATCCACTTTTTTTATGTGTTTCTGCTCCATCAATCCCTATGTTTCAACCTCAAATAGGTTTCTATCTTCAAAACTATTTGAGTTTGAGGAGAGTATTATACCTATATCATGGTGAGCATGGTGATATACCATGTGAACCACCTAAACTCCAAACCGCCTCCTTTGGCACACAACCTAAGCCGCTCCATGCGCACCATCCAAGATGCCCCTGGCACACTCAGTCTTCTGTTGCCATCACTGCTCAGCATCATGTCATAATTTATGTGCGTGTCACGCTTGCTGGTTCAACATCCAGTTCTCTACATCAATCCAGCATGACCTCTTTAAACTGTCTCGATATTGATTTTGGTTAGCCAATCTCTACAACGGTTTGCCATGACCCCGTAAATTGTGCCGACATTGATTCCAGCTAGCTCCTATAATAATCTGACATGACCATAAACTGTCTCCTGGTATTAGCTCTGGCTTTTGATCTCGGCATTAGTTCCAGCCAGTTTCCATATCAGTCTGGCATGACCTTAAACTATCCCGGCATTAGTTTTGGCCAGTTCCTACAATGGTTTGACACAACCATAAACTGTCTCCCGGCATTAGTTTTGGCCTCTGATCTATTTCAAGCGCCCTTGCGCTCCTGTTCGGATTTTGCAATCTATTTGCCTTTTATTGTATTTAGTTTTATTTCATATTTTAGTTTCTCTCTCCAAACTCAAGATGTTAAATTATCCTCCTTGAGTTTGAGGGGGGATGTTAATGTATATATGGTATATATTCCTAAATATATTAGGTATTGATTTCTTAGATATATTTGGAAATAGCCATAGTTAGGTTTCTTGCAAGATACTCTATCTTATAGTTAGGTTTCTAGTAGGATACACTTTCTCAGCCTATATATACAGGCCTTCTATTGTATAAGATTAATTCATTGAATACAATACATATTATTTCCTCTCTCTTCCTCTCTCTACTATTCTAACACCCAAAAACACAACCTTAAAAATAAGATGCTAGTCAGCCAGCCAGCCAGCCACCCCCACCATCGGGCCACCTCCAACCACTTGTCTGCCACCACTTGCCACTTTAAAATCATGCTAATGAAGATCCACTTTCACCTTGGGCAAAAATGGTTTCCATAGCCCCACAAAAATGAAATCCCAACCAAGTTCCATGAAGAAAGAGTACTATACATCTCATTTCACGTCAACTATAAAAAAATTTCTAATTTATTCCGTCTAGTTATTAAATATATGATTGCTCTGTGATCTTTTCCCTTAATAATTTTCCGATGTATATTTGTCATATACACATATTTGCGAACGAAAATATAGAATTAAGCTCTATGATTATACACATATTTGCTAACTCTAAATGCCATAAACTGAAGAAAATACCACCAACAGGGCAATCATACATTTTTTTACATTTCTTTTAAATTTTCCTTTCTATTAATCATGCAGAATTAAATCCAGCTTATCTGCTCTATAGTGCCAACAAATTTTTTTCCACACTCTATATGTTAGAAATAGGCTAATACAATTGTGGTTATGAAACACTAGTTAAACCGGAACAGTAGACTGTATTCATACCCCACTTTTGGGTAATCAAGTACTAATTAACTTCTAAAATGAAAAAAATAATAATAATAATAATAAAAGCAACAATTTTTTTTTATTTTTTTTGCACTTTTCTATTTTTATGAGTGTCATAGTATAGAAGTATGAAATTGGTAAATCCACCTAACCTAAGCTAGAAAGAAAATCAGGGTGAATTGGGAATGCTGATATAACAGGGTAAATTGGGAAATTTAGCCAAAAGCTAAATAAAATTAAGAAAATTCACTCATTCAATTTGTCTGCTGCCACACATATATATTGTTGCTTAAAAACTTAGAATTTGGACAAGTAAATTAGCACAATCACAAGTGAAACTCAACAGAAATCTGAATTATGAGGATATAACTTATAAGTATGAAGTTGGCAAATTCAACAACAAACTCATATTCCAAACTAGAAAAGACAATCAATAATTGAATGGTATTAAGTAATCCTGTAAGATTTCAATTGACATGGGTCCAAGAACTCAAAGACATTTTTTTTGGAAAGAATAGAGAGTGAGAAAATCTTTTTGAAAAAGAAAAACAAAGAAATGATCATTAAAAAACAGGCATCAAATCTCACCCACTATGTGGGGTAAGAATTTGGGGATGCTGCTGCATGGGGTGCGCAGTAGCATTTGGTGTGCAGCGAAATGGGCCCATTTCGGGGCCTATTTTGAAAATCCGAACCGTTCACATTTTAGAATATATCTAGTAGAATATGCCTGCAAAAATTAAGTTAATCGGATATCGTTTACCTATTCATTCACTCACATTTGTGTTCATTTTAATACTTTAAATTACAATTATTATTTATTTTTCTAGATAGAAATGTGAGTGGATGAATGGGTAAACAATATCCGATTAATTTGATTTTTTGCAGGCATATTTTACATGATGTATTCTAAAATGTGAACAATTCAGATTATCAAAATGGGCCCCGAAAATGGGCCTATTTCGCTGCACAACAGATGCTGCTGCGCACCCCGCGCAGCAGCATTCCCAATCCCCTATGGTAAAGCATATAGCTAAAATGACTTAAATATCCTTAAAATTACAGTCACTTAAACAAATTGAGATACATAGATATAAAGCAAACACACTTAAAAAACTAGTAATCCAAACATGTCCTTAACTTCTACGAACCATGATCCTACACCACTTATGAAACAAAACATATACGATAAACTCAAAAAATAAAAAATATAAAATATAAAAAATCCCCACAATTAAAATTAAAAAAGCAAATTTTAAATCTGAGCTAATATACGATAAACTTAAAAAAATAAAAAATAAATAAAAAATAAAAAAATCCCCATAATTAAAATTAAAAAAGTAAATTCTAAATCTGAGCTAATCTGAGAAAAGTGAAGAAAAAGAGAAGGAACAGGAATATTATTACCAGTGTAGACACAGGTGACATAGATGAGGGATTCTCTGGGACTAGACATAGCGGTAAGTGGTGATGAGTACCTAGGTCCCCCCTTGCAACAACCATGATTGTTCTTCACTTCTTTCTCTGCAATTGACCCATGTTCCATCACCACCATACCTGTAGCCATCTCTCTCTCTCTCTCTCTCTCTCTCTCTCTCTACAATGGCAACACTAGATCAGAAAACCCACTTGAAATAAGTGAGGAGCTATAGAACAAATTAAATTATGGCACTTGAGATAGTATAAAACCAATTGTGGCTCAATTTCAAACACAATAATATCACCATTCTTTGAAATACTCAAAGGCAAGGTTCTACGTACAACTTGAGCATCCCAAGAAACATATTATCCTAAAAATGGATATGAGATGGTAACCAATTTAGTCCAAGACTCTCTAATCCCGTATTCCTTCATTACCTATATACATCGACATTAACATAATTTTTGGCCATTGAAAGGAAGTACACAAAGGAGGCATAAAACCCCAAAACTCCATAGACAACTTCCATCTCCATAATTGGGATGCCGTATCTCCTTGTACTTCTCTTTTGCTAAATCGAAGCAAACCATGCTCTTTGGAGAGCTCAAAGCCGGATACGATTCGGCTTCCCAATGGGGAACTCCATTAATGTATCTACCGTGACTGTGTAGAATCTAGTTACCATTATTGTGAATCGTTTTTCCAAAAGTTATTATATGGATACTACGACAAGAATAAAAAACAGCTGGACCCTAAAAAGGACAAATTACTGGTAAGTCCTATTTAAAAGGAGTCCGGATCCTCTCCAGCCAAAGACTCCCTCTGGTCCTCCGGTCAAGGGTCACGATTTGGCCACGTGGCTTAATGAAAATCTACTGCTCAGATAAAATAAAAAAAAAATAAATTTTTTTTTTGAATTTCGTTCGTTTCGACCCAGCACAAAGCTTCCCTTCCATTCACAAGTCTATTTTCCCTCCTCTTCGAAGCTCTTTTTCCCTCCTTCCAAGCTCTGGCGATTGGCGAAGTTGACGGCGAACATCGAGGACGATCGGCGTCGAACATCGACGGTGAACCAAGCTCCGGCGACCCCGCGAACCAGAGCTGCACTTCGTCATCAAACTGAAGGTAATATTTGTTTTCCTTAATTTTTTCCCATATAAGTTTTCCTTTCCAGGAACAAAAGATTCAGTGCACAGGTTTGTCATGGCTGGGGAACATTGTTATTGTCTGCAACTACATTGATTTTTCTAACTAGTGAGCAATACATAGATGTTTTATTTGTTGTATTCCATGACCAATTTAAACTGTAAAAAGTGATGGTGGTTGAAACTATGTATAGATATAGCAATACATTTACGACATATACTTAATGCTTATAATTTGCCTTTTACCTATAACTGAGTGTCTCAAAAATTATTTAGTATCACACACACACACACACACACAAACACACACACACACACACACACACACACACACACACACACACACACACATATATCTTTATCTTTGTTACGAGATGAGAATCTGGGACAACATATTGACTAGAATTTCTCAATCGGACACACTGGATTAAGATTCTTTTTCTCTAGCAAATGGCATTGATAGAATGAAAATAGTAAAAGTATTTTGAGATTCTAAGCTTTTATTAGCTTCTATATTTGTCAGAATTTTCCAGTTCAGGTTCTATATTAGCTTCTATAAATATAGAGCTCAAATATTTTATCCTGCCATGTTCAAACCTGTACTAATTTTTTCAACTTGAAACAATTTCAAGTACACATTTTCTTTCTTAAAGCATGTACATGATATTTAGAAAACGAGGAAACAGAACATTTTTACCCCAAAAAAAATAAAAATAAAAATTAATCACTTTATTATCGTGTATTGATACTTCTCCCATTTGATTGCCTCTACTTTTCAGTTACGTTTTTATATGGATATGGAACCTGACAATGATTGTGGTTGGAAGCCAAAAGAAGGAATGACCTTTGATTCGGAAGAAGGTGCGTACGATTTTTATAATGCATATGGAGGAAGAATGGAATTTAGCATAAGAAGGGAATATTGTAAGAAGAACAAGTTAACAAAACAAATTATTTCTAGAAATTTGGTTTGCAACAAAGAGGGATTTCGGAAGGTTGACAAGTGAGACCTATTGACAAAAACCCCTAGAGCTGAAACTAGGACTGGTTGTGAGGCCCAACTTTTTGTTAAATTGGATGTCAATAGTGGGAAATTTGTTGTGACTGATTTCAAAGAAAAACACAACCATGAACTTGTATCTCTTGATTGTGCCCATATGTTGCCATCGCAAAGAAGGATATCAGATACCCAAGCAATTGAGTTAGACTTAGCCTCGGAGTCTGGTCTTCATTTAGGGCAATCTTTTGAACTGATGAGTAGGGAAGCTGGAGGGAGGCAGTCTCTTGGTTTTATGAAATTAGATCAAAAAAATTACTTGAGAACCAAAAGACAAAAAAGTTTAGCATATGGGGAAGTATCTAATGTGTTGCAATACTTTCTACAAAAATCTTTGGAGAATCCATCTTTTTTTTATGCTTTCCAATTAGACAATGAGGAGCAAATAACGAATACGTTTTGGGCCGATGCACAAATGGTCATGGATTATGTCCAATTTGGCGATGTAGTTACATTTGATACTACCTACAAGTTAAATAAAGAGCATAGGCCATTTGCATCTTTTGTGGGATTTAATCATCATAGAGAAACAGTTGTTTTTGGTGCTGCGTTGTTATATGATGAGACTGCCGAAACATTTGTATGCTTATTTCAAACTTTTTTAGAGGCTATGTCAAAAAAGGCACCAAAAACTTTGTTTACTGATCAAGATGCTGCAATGGCTAAGGCCATACCCATTGTCATGCCTGACACGAGTCACCATTTGTGCACTTGGCACTTGATGCAAAATGCATTAAGGCATGGTAATTGTCTCTTTCAAGATAAGGGGGTGAAAGGTGTATTAAATAGATTCATGTTTGATATTGAGGATGAAAATGAATGGGAAATGAAGTGGGGGGAAATGCTTGATACATATGATGCTCATGACAATCATTGGTTGGAGTTGATTTTTGGGGTGAAGGAAAAATGGGGCTGGCCATATGTTAGATCAACATGGGCTGCGGGAATGAGTACAACACAACTTAGTGAATCTTTTAATGCGTTTTTAAAGGATTACATTCGTTCTGATTTTAATTTAAATGAATTCTTCATGCATTTTGAAAGGGTACTTTGTGAGAAGCGGTACAAGGAATTAGAAGCTGGATATGCTTTATGCCAAAGGTTGCCAAGGGTGAGAGCGACATTCATAATGTTAAGTCAAATGGGAAATGTGTACACTAAAAATATTTTAAAGGAGTTTCAAGATAAGTATTTTCTTTCGGTTGAATCAGACATACAAGCAATTGAATACATTGATGGTTGTAGCCTATACACAGTTGTTGATGCTATTGGGAAAAATGCAAGGAAAGTGAAAATGAAGATGGATGGCTCTTTGGCTTGTAGTTGTTCAAAGTTTGAAAGGAAAGGGATTTTGTGTAGTCACTGTTTGAAGGTTATGAGAGAAATATTGAAGTTGAAAGAGATTCCTTTACAATACATTATGAAGAGGTGGACCAAACAAGCAAGAGGAGAAGCTGTGACGGACAAGTTAGGGAATGAGATTCAAGTAGATGCCAAATTCAAACAAGCCTCACGGTATAAGACATTGATGACTGCATTTAGATCAATAGCATGTAGAGCTGCTGAAACTGAGGAAACTTATGATTTTTGTTGTTCACAAGTCGCTACATTAGGTGCACATGTTGAAGGCAAGATAAGTGCATATTTTTGTCCCGAAAAAGAAGTTAGTATTAATGATCAACCTCAAACCTTGGAAGTGCCTTCTGAAGACAACAATCATGTTATGCAAATTCCAATAGGATTGAAGAAAAAACATCCAACTAGTAAGGGCAAAAGAAGGATAAAAGGTCCATGTGAGCTGACATTGCAAACAAGCTTTAAAAAGAAGTCCCGTGCACAATTTGTGAGTTCTTCAAAACCTGTTGTTGCTCCAACAGTGAGACCTTCTCCATTATCTATTGGAGGAGATGTAAGTATTCATGAAAATGTTACTCCTCTTCATCCTCCTCCTGCTCCCCCTCCTCCTCATTCCGTTGCCATGGGTGGTACAATTCCTCCTCCATTAATATATCCCACATATAATGTGAGTCAGATTTTTAGCCAACTAATTTGTGTTTTGTCAATTAATTTTTTATTTGCATCTTGTTATGAATTGTAATATAATATGAATGAATTGTAGGCAAACAATTTGGCATATTGTGGACAACCAACATTTATGACAATGCTTCAAGGTGGGTATGACATTGGGTTTCAAGATTCTCAAGGCTCACAGACAGGTTCTCGGCCAACAAATAATTTGTTGCTGTATACTGAGGTACTTTTGCTGCTGATTTGGTACTGTTTATGCTGATCTGGTACTGTTTATGCTAGTTTTTGTGCTGCTGGAATGCTCTTTTTGGTGCTGAATTTGTGTTGTTGAGTTGTTGTATTTTGGTCATTTTTTAGGTGCTGAAATACTATCATGTTGTGCTGCTAAAATATAGTTTTTGCTGCTGATTTTGTGCTGCTGTAATGCTGGTTTTGGTGCTGATTTTGTGCTGCTGAAATGCTCTTTTTGGTGCTGAATTTGTGTTGTTGAGCTGCTATATTTTGGTCATTTTTTTAGGGTTTGGATGGCCATGAAGAGGTGGAAGGCACTTCAAATTTCATGCATAGGAGATGCCTCTGAGCTGCTGTATTTAACATTGATGTTGATGTTGAAGTTGAAGTATTTAACGGTGAAACTTGTTGAATGGTGAAACTTGTTGATGTTGATGGTGAAACTTGTTGAAACTTGTTAAGTATTTAATGTTGATGTTGATGTTGAATGGTGAAACTTGTTGATGTTGATGTTCATGGTGAAACTTGTTGAATGGTAAAACTTGTTGAAACTTGTTAATACTGATTCACAGCATTTGTTGAAACTTGAATGAGTATTAACACTGATTCTTCAAAACAGTGTTAATACTCTGTATAAAATTTATTATCTATCTGTTTACAGCATTTACTGCAGA